ATAAGCTATTATGTCATTAATTATTTGTATATATGTAGACTATTTTATTAATTATTACTGTTAATAATTAATTCTATCTTTTATCATTATTATTATATTATTATATTATTATTATGTTGTTTAACATTTGTTACAGTTATATTTCGATTGAATATTTAGTTCTGCTTATAGCACATAGTGATACATAGAAGCGTTATTGACTCATGTAAATAAAAAGGAAACAATTTCAACAAATGCAAAAGCACAAAGTGAATGTATAAAGCGAAAGGATATCCAACATTGCGTATGAATAATCTTTCGCTTTTTACTACAAAGCGTTTGCTTTCTGTTTTAAAGAATGCGCTCTTGTAAGCGCATCATCGTTCTCGAAGCAGGCATCAATAACACAGCCACGCAAGCGTGTACAGAATTACAATATCGTATTTCTTATCGTTTATATAATTTCACAAAATTTTCTGTAGTTCCTGCCATCCATGATAGTAAATCAACTTTAAAAATAAGCAAATGATATAATATATCTACTATACACATACTTTTCGAAATTTTTACTTCGATAAATAAGAACGAAAATATTTGCCTATGAATATATTTATCTATTTCATACGACCTATTATGATTTAATTATAAAAAAAATATTTTGAATATATTTCGTAGCATATATCTTTTTTATTATTGTGATTAAAAATGCGATTCAAGTCCTTTGAAAATTCAAGAAGATAATAAAACAAACATTGATCGAAAATGATTGAACCGAGAAATATAGCGTTTTGATTTTTTGCATAACAGCTCGTCATGAGAACTAGATGAATGTTTGCCATATCATAATTCCTGCGTTGTGTTCCGTGTCATAAACGAAAACGGTGCGATAAAACACTCGAATCGAAGCGTAAAACATACTTCAAACTATGAACCATCGCTTAATCCCACGCAATTCTATGATGCAATATAAACCACTCTGCAAGATTAAACCGAATATTGAGTAGCTTAATCCGTTTGACATTCTCATAGTTGATAGAAACAAAGATTGATATAGCTGGTAAAACGAAGAAAATGTGTTCTATTCGTTATTCGCGGTTACGCACAACTTTTATTTATTGCGCACTAGCCCGAAAGATCCAAAATTTTTGAAATTAAAATCTGGTTGTTCAATATTTTGTGTATGCGACGAAATTTTTGAAATTGAAATTTAGTTATCCGATATTTCCATGCCATGTGTCAATTTTCATGCGTAAATTTTCCGTTGTCCACAAAGTCTCAATATGTGAATACAAATATCTATACAATTATAAATATATGTTCCCATGTCAAATGATCGGTGAATACTATGGTTGAACCAGTCTAGCGACTGGTTCGACATATTAGTAATCCTGAAATGTGTATTAATCCTTCAAATAAATATTCGTATTTGATTTGCTTGGAGATAGCAAGTATTGAAAGTTATAAGTATTGATTTGAGGGGAGATCATATCATTATCCGAAATATTGCCGCAATATGTCAATCATATTAAATTATAATGATGAAAGGAGGAAAATAATGATTTTCGCAACTTATTTGTGCATGCAATTCGATGAAACAGATTCATCAAAAGCCAGAGATTCTGTTATCACAACTCGACCATTATCTCTTCTGCACTTTGAATCATTTTATAGCGGCTGTATTTTAATTATTCCACGTTTCCATACGATACACGTCAAACTGATAGTGCGCAAACGGAGTTTCCACTATATTTTATCAACTTTAACGATTCACGAGATGGATTTCGTTAATGGAACATTATCTATGCAAATTGCAAGAAACGTTCACGTAATTTTCGTCGTTTTAATATTCATAATACAAAATGTCCGATATACTTGACAGCTCGATATGTCTCTTACTTATATACATGCCGTCGGCAGTTTACATTATATATTTGATGACGACTTCTGTGTAAAGATCTTTGACAGAAACGTTTAACGTTACTCGCCAGACCCGCGTTTGCGAGCGGGCGCGCGTGCATACCACATCTCAAAGGGTTAAAAGTTTGAGATTACCGAGAGCGTCCCGCCGAGTTTCCTGGGAATTTCCGTAAAGCGGCCAGGTGCAAGCAGATACGATCGCGTCCAATGCACGAAGCTCCCGGAACGAGAACAGTACTCTTTCGACTTGGATGCCGTAAGTTTCTCGCGCGGAACGGAGCGGAACAAAGCGGAGCGACCGATGATGAGCAAGTTTTCAATTCTTCGATCTTCACTGCCGCCTCTTGATCTTGAGTTTGCCTTTCGCGGGAAAAATCACTCGTCGACGTTTCATGTCGATCTCGCTTGTTTATCGAGTTTAACTTCGCGCTTCCGAATGCGTTTCCTTCATTCTAACGCTGTTCGGGGAAACGACGGATGAAATATTGCGCGCGATATCTGCGATAACATTATTCTCTGCTCTCTTTTATGGAAATATCGTTTTTTCAAGAGAATGAGTTTCCAAGCTAAAGTTACGATAAAATCAGTGTCGATACCTTTCTCTTTTCCTTTTTATACGAAGTAATCCAAGAGTATCGTGTACGAAACATTAAAAGTAGATTCATCCTTCAAGTTCGAAGCAAAAATTCTTGTACACGTTGCATCCATAAATATATAAGGAAATTGAAAGGCAAGATAAAAAAAAATCACTCACCGAGCTGACAACGATCACCGCCCCTTCCGAGAGGACACTGGCATCTCTGTCTGAACGTTCTTTGCTTTCGTCTAAGATTCACGGTATTGCCCTCGAGATCCACGATTCCGTCATCGTCATCCTCGATTACAATGTCAACTTCATCTCCGCGGGATTGTTCGATATAACAATTTCCAGCTGGCCCGCAGTCCAAGGAACACGCTGGCTCGGTACTCGCGATGCTCTCCATCGTGGATGGCAGTTTTTGCTCCAGATTTGGACCCTAAATAACCACAGAGAGAAAAGATGTTATATGTGTATGTCTCAAATTGGATTGCTACGTATTGATTTTCATATATCGAAATTGACGTCCGAAAAGAAACTAATAAGAAAGGAAATCAGTTCCTATATGACTATTTACAGATTTTATGACTAATCAAAGATTTGTTCAATAATAATGAAATTATAAATTTTAAAAAATTTTATTAAATTTTAGACATTTTTTATAAATAAATTTAATATTTTAAAATATAAATATTTTTTACCTATTTATTTCTAAATTGAAATATTTTTCACCTATCTATTTCTAAATTGTGTATTTAACGGACATTATAAAACTAGCGATAAATATAACACTTTTCAGTTAGTATCACTGAAAAATATTCTAGTACCATCTTCAATACAGTGTTAGATTTATAATTGATTGTATATCAATTAATATATTCGTGAAAAATAAATATTATATCAATTTTTAATTTAAATAAAAATAATAATAATTTCAAATAAATAAAATTGATATGTTTGAATAAAGAGTAAATTAAAAAAACATTTTGGCATCTATTTTTGGTTCAGAGTAGAGCACAACAATGTAAGGAAAATACGCGCACGCGAGTATGGTAAACAGTCAAACAGGGACGAATATTATTTATGAGTTGACCTATTTTCCGACATCCGCCTCATCATTTTTTAATCCTTCTGTTCGCTGTTGTCGATTCGGAGGGAAGAAATTTTTAAAAATAATGGAATGGCCTTCTGCATCTTAAGAAAGCTATAGCAGATGTAAAGTATCTGTTGCACGACTTATGTTTTTTTTATTTAAGGAAGGCTTTTGAATAAAAATTGGCCCTCAGAACGTACAAACTTTGTACTTAATATCGAGTGTTGCAAAATATTAAATTTTATTTGCATATTTGCAAAGGAAGATCACCGAAAAGCCCGAGTTCATATTTTGTCGATTAGCGCATAAATTTAATATTGACTGAATTTACGTATTAATTTAATTTTATTAAATTTTAATGATGCTCCCTGTAACCAATCACAATGTTAATATATTCATTTGCAATAATTTAATCATTATTTAATAATCATGTGGTATAAACTTATATTAATATCCATTTGCATTACTATTTTATTTTTAATTTAATTTTGCTTTTAATTTCAATTTTCATTAACGGTATTGCGTATGGCAAAGGATGCTATTTCTAATATTTAAAAATGAGAATATATGATTGTGCAGACGCGCAATGGAAAGTGCAAAGTTTCGATGTCATCGATTCTTGTTCATCAACACAATTCGGTCAGTCAGATCAAATCCTTTGTCGTATTAAACAAAACTTCACGTCCTCGATTATATCGTGAATATTAATTCCAGTTCAAGGGAAGATTCCTCGATTGAGAACATTCCGGCTTTCGCTCGATTTCACATAATCGCTATTTCTATACCTCGCACATAGACAAGCATAACCATTTACGTCCCTTTACACGGAATGTTCTATTCTGGACTGCTTAACCCAAAGACGACGCTCGATCGATTCTCTTCATTTAGTACAAATATGACGGCACGTCGACGTATCAATCAATTAAGTTTATGGAGTTAGTGTAAATTCTTGTGATATTGACTAACCTAATGCACGATATCGAGCATTTGTGTTGAATCAATGAATGTTGAAACTGGGTTTGAACTGGTATTTATCATATAATCAAATAGTTTTAAAGCCTATATGCTGGCAATTTTGACGTTTCCAACAATTGCGTTTAAAACATATGCTGAAAAATTCGTGATTGTGTCTCTTGTGTTTCACATGCAAAAATATTTGTTACAGAGTTTTATTTTGCATCCATAAAAATAAATTAATATTCAGTTGAATATACATATTTATATATATATTTTGTCTGCTATTTCTTTTATTTTTATTTCGTATAAAGATATTTGTCGCAATTTTATTATTCACAACCATTATTTAATTATTTTATATAAAACCAGTCTCTCTTTCTTTATATATAAATATGTAAAATTAAATAGAAAAAAATAATAATATAAAAAATATACATATTTATAAATACACATATTCAATTAACAATAAGTAAATCTTGATAAATTCAAATTTTTTGATAAATGTAAAAAAATAAAATTCTTTTTAACAAATATTTTTGTATAAAAGAAAAACCATTAAGAGACTTTTCAAGCATACGCTTAAGCGCGCGCTAGTTATATTTATATTATGGATTAAATGGAATCTTTAAGGTTTCGTGTTTTTTAAAATATTCACATGTACATATACACGGTTAAAATTTTTTGACGATTGTCCTTGCATGTTGTGCTAAAAAATGCACAGATACCGTGACATTCTTTACAAATCTTCGCGATAGAGAAAAAATAATTTCGCAGGAGTTAAGAGCCGTTTAGTTTAAAATACTCATGCGTGCTTAAATATATGATTTTGCTCCAAGAATGCTTCAAATTTCAACAAAGTAAACACGAGACAAGCAATTGAAATAGTATTATATCCTGTACAAGAAAAATATACGCTTGTCCAAGAATTACTAAAAAGAATTATTGCCGCATTCAAGGAGGCAGAATAGGTGCTTTTCGACATATCGCCTTCTCGTATTTTTTATTGTAGATCAGAAATCCTAGATTTTTCACCGGATGCTGCTCTGGAATCCTACGTAACAAATGATGGCGGAGCAGCGTGCAAACACTTATGCAGCAATACGACAAGCTAACCCGAGAAATATGGCTCGTAATGTTACCTGAGACGTGGCGCGCAGCTCGATCCGATCCGCGCCGTTTCCCTCGTTTATCTTCGTCGCGTCCGCGGTAGAATTCTCGGCTAGAGCATCCAGATGTATCGTAAAGGTTGCACCGCGCATATAAAGGATGTCCTCGACCGCATCCTCATCATCTGCATTGTCCGCGTTCGTCTCATCGCTCTCGCCCTCGTCGACGAGCTCACCAAGTTCGCTCGTTGATGGCGATGTCGAGTTGAGCTCTGCAACCGAAAATAGCCGTCGTTTCGTTAGAGAAAGAATAAAAAAGACTTGTCGAGAACAAGCTTGATATATGTCGAATAAGTCGTGAAATAATATAGTCTTCTGCTCGCGTATTGCACAAAATTGTTCGACATTGATAAATTATCGAATGTCAAATTTTTTGTTTCATCATTATTAAAAATAAATTAAATTTACTTTTTTTTCAATTATTAAAATGGTTAAAGTCTCAAGATTTTAGATTTTAAATAAAAAGAATCATCCATTATAAAATATAACGTGGCAAAACTTGAAAATTGACAGCATTCTTCTTAGAATAAGAAGAATGCTATCAAACGAGAAGAGGAACTTTTGTAAATAAGATTATCATTAACGTAATAAAATTGAAGTATAAACTTTTACTTCATCTTAACTTCAATGTTAAAATCTTTATCTAGCTGTCTAAATCAGATGCAATCAATTGTTCATTACAGCACGTCGTGAATGTGCAATTTTCTCACCTCATCTGACATCAAATTACTTGACTGATTTAAAAAGAAAATAATATACGTTAATGAAGTTTGATACTTGCCATTTTGCATTTATATAATCAAAAATTTGACGCGATAATCGTATAAATAAATTATCACAGCCATCGATTGAAACCGAGATAAATTCTCAAAATACACATCAGCTGCACAAGATAAGGATCCTTGCGTTTTATTCACAAATATAAACGCAACGCTACAATAAAACGGATCGGATCCATGTTTACAGTATCGAAAATAGAGTTCACCGAAATTATAGAAGAGGAAACAGTATTACGAAACTTACTATTATACAGGGATTAATATATCATTACCGATATTGGAGAAGTTCCGATAGGATCAAAAACAAAATGAGTTTCCATAATATACCGTCTTCTTCACTACCAATTTCAATCTTTATATCGAACACGTATGCGTGTTCGATAGCTCCGAAAATCTACGAACTGTTGCACGTGCAGTACGACTGGTTCGCCGCACATGCAATCGGCCCAGCTACGGAGGTGGCACCGAGGTGAAGGATCATTAGGAACTTATCCGTTGGTCGCGCACGAGTTTCCACGTGTCCATGTGCGGCACATACATAAAGCTATGCCGGCAGGATAGTGGATAGTGCTCCTCGAGTTCCTTGAACGGCTGACCCAAACTCGCTTACCCCATTCGCGTTGGCGTAGACGAGAGTATAGAGAAAGAGAGACAGAGAGGAGGAGGAAGGGAGGGAGGAGAGAGCGAGGGTGAGGACCAAAGCCTGGCTTTGGATCGCTCGAGGCAAGCTCGCGATACCAAACTTCGGGCCGCTTATACTGGTCGCCCCATCGTCGGTGTAAGCCGCGCACAACTACGTGCTTCGCGTCGGAAATTCGTGTGTAGCGTTAATTTGGTTATTACCGGGCTTGCGGAATAATAACGCCGGCCGGAGCGAATGCGGCCAGCAGTAGCAGCAACGGCGGTGGCGGCAACGGCGAACATCGACGTCAAAACGAGAAATATAATACAATACGTAACATACCAAGGATCAATGGGCATTGGTACACCGCGCGATGCGAATTTTCGGCTCCCCGATCGGATTTCGTTTTCCAACAAGATTTATTTGCGCGATGGATTCTGCTGCGTCGTGCTTCGAGTTTTCGGAGTAAAGGGCAACGACGGAAACTTGAAATGGTCGGTCAGTAACTCGTGAATATGTAACATAATACTCTTTATGAATAAAATCCCGACTAGTTTGCCGCGACCTTTCCCGGATCGCGAAATGGTCAAAGAGTTGCGACTCTTCAATGCTTACGCGGAGAAAGGCAGCCTGTTTCAAAATTTCTAGAATAATCGCTTCAAATATGATATGAAGAAGAAAAATATAGTGTGGTTTCGAGAATATATTAAATTTTCTAAATTTCTAAAAAATTTAAATGCCAATTTAGAATTGAAAATGACAGTAATATCTAATTGTTTATGGAACAGATTGATATATAAATTTTCGATGATCGACTTACTTCAGATAAAGATCACCGTTTATGTAAACATGTCAATGGCGTTTGCAGACGCGATTGTAGCAATTACGCTCGATACCAGCTGCTTTGCCGTCTAAAAGTTACCGACTTTCGAGGAGACACTCGACTATTTCTTTTCAATCTTCTTGGCCGCGATATTCGCCAGTGGATCGAGTGGCGGACGCGTTTCCGTACTTAATCCCCCGACCATTTAAAATTTAATGGGCCTGTCGTATACAAAGCTTTTCATTTCCAGGTAGATCCCTCTTGAACTACTCGAATTCAAAGGTCTTTGACGCCGGCGTTTTTTATTCAAATGACGTTTGATAGAGTTTAATTGAAGTCCTAATCTCAAATTTATAAATTTATTATATAAAACGCGATGTGTGTCCGAAATTATAGACGCAACGCAAATGTATATATACACACAATAATTTCAGCGTAAAATATTTAATACTTAATAAACTTATAAAATATTCAAATTGTTTAAACTGGATTACTATATTACATTGATGATTATATTATATTAATTATATTTTAAGTATATTAATTGTTTAAGTATTCAAGAGAACTTCGTAATTTTCGTAATTTTTATTTAAAATTAATGCTAATTATTAAATAATGGATATAAATAAAATCTTAATAAAAATTGTGACATAAAAATATTGTACGATAACATTTATATATGTATATCTTTTTATACATTTATAAATAATCACAAATAAAGTTGAAAATAATTGCTTATAAAAATATAAAACCATAAAAAAATATTGAAATATTTGAAACATTAAAATATCAAAATATTACTATTTGTATGTGTATGCCTTACATGATACGCACATTACGATAACAGTAAAATACGATCTATGACGGGATTTATATAAGCAAGATTTTTCTCACATTCTGTATTTCGAGTAATATCGAGAAGTTATATCAATACAAAAATCTTGTTATTTACTTGCGGTGAAAATTTTTTAAGATCGCCAGAAGATACATTCGAGTTTTGTCGTGCTAGACGAGTATCTCGAGCGCGTTTCCGATATTACATTACGTTAATCTATAGAAAATTAATTGCGTATAACCAAATTGTAATATATGATATTATCTTTCGATCGATGCAAAATTCCGATATTAAAGCCGTGATCGATGAATACGTCACTACGTCGTATTATGAATATTGACATGATATTAGGCGAGCAATTGGCGGGCTTATGAGCGATTCGCATCCCTGTCAAGCGACGTATGAATCACTTCCCTTCCGCGCCCCTCTCATTTCAAACTTTTTTCGCGTGTTTTCGCATTCTTTAGTCGCACAAGGTTAATCGTCGCTGAAGAATATATACGAGAAACGGAAGAGTCGAATTAAAATTTATTGCTAAAATAAAATATCCGCCACTTCGATTACGTTATAGTTATGATTTAAACGTGAATTTAATAAAATTATTATTCGGTATCGAACGTGAACGCGGGCGCGCTTGTGCTAAATGGATCGCCGCTTATTTTTTAAATACAAGTATCGGATGATTATGGTGGTTACGCGAGTACAAGTATGTTGTGTGTAGAGGTAACGTACAATTATCGGTAATCGATATTCGATCGAATGCGCGTAACATAAGCGTCAGTAAAAAAAAAAGCAAAAATATATAACGCGATTATCGTGAGTGCTAATAATGATCGATGACTGATACTTAATCGATTGGGCTGATCAGTGACATGTACGATGGATCATCGAACCCTGATAATCACAGCTTCGGACAAAAAGATGAATGGATCGGACGAGGAAACAGCGAGACAACGACTGATGAGAGTCTGTAGTTATTGTAATTACATATTTAATTAAATCTTATATTTAGTTTATGTGCGCCGACTTGATACGATTATATAATAATAAAATCCATTGCTTTATGGATACATTATTGAAAAATATTTATTAGTAATATGGTAACCCTTATTTGATTGGTAAAATGATTAATACCAATAACGAGTTAATATCGACATATTATACATATTTCATATTTTATATTGTAAAAAATACACAGAATTTATTTATTTATTTATTCTGATCCATTTTTTTATTTACGTGTTGCATAAAATGCAGATTAAAAAAAGGTACATTTATACTATATATCAACTATTGACCTACATGTAGTTAATCTTACTGTTGACTTATGTTAGTCAACATTCTTTAATTTGCTGAAATTTTTGATATATTTATTTAATAAAAAAAATAAATTAAAATAAAGATCACAAAAAAATAAAATAAATTTTATTAGTCTAAACCATAATTTTAAAAAATTATTGTAATAATAAAATCTTATTCGGATCAAATCAAAGGCATTACGATACTGATTTGACGATGCAAAAATTTCGGGAGTAAAATGTTGACTTTTCCGAATTAAGATTAAAACGATTCGTGAATCCAAAATGAAGCTTGAAGCAAATTTCGAGCATTACAATTTTCTGACAATGCGGGAGAAGATGAAAGTAAAATTGCACATGGATGCACTCGGAGTGCAATGCTGGTATTCGCCGTATTTTTAAAAACTCTTGAGAGTTCCAAGCACACATCAGGGGGTTTTCGTTGTTGAAGTATTCCTGAAATTCCTACAATTCCGATCGGAATACGATTGCAGGGTCGATTTAGAAAGGATGCTCATAGTGAAGCGCGTTCCAAGGCCGCAATAGCGTTATTGAAGGAATAGCGATCGAGGAATCGTTCGCGTTGCGACGAACGAACGAATTATTAGCAACGGATGTTAATGACAAAGACTATTATACTATGTTCAAGGCATCGTATATTATCGCGAATTTCGTGATGGGAGAAAAGTTTGATATCGTAAATTTGAGATGTATAAAAAAAACCTATAGAAAATATTTTTGTTTAACTTACAACTCTTGAAGAACCTATGTGTATTACACATACTTATAATTTCTTTCTACTAAAGATTATGTCTTTAAAAATCTTTCATCAATTTAATAAAATTTATTTATTTA